AAGCTAACTCTCCTGTAAGACGTGCGATGGAACTCAGTAGTGGACTTTTTGAGCACTATATCCAGAACTGGCCTAATCTGATGACAGTTTGTGAACAAAATCATGAAAAAATAGATGGAACTGTCACAGCCAAAGTTCTCAACATTGGGCTTAAGAGAAGTGTTGAACACGTGCTGAGTATCCTGAAGCCTATTTCTGCAGCCTTGAACAAAATACAGGGAAATAGCTGTTTTATTGCTGACGCTGTTGAAATTTGGAGGGAACTGAGTGAGATCTTAAAAAGAGAAATATGCAATGACAGAGTTAAATTACAAGCTGAACCTCCACAAACAAAAGCAAAGGGCCCACTTGGTCTGCGATGGCCTGCTGCTTCGTTACATTCTACAATAAAAATTATACAAGCTGAAACTAACATATAAGGTTTCAGCCCAGGAACCCCTTTGAAAACTGTCACCAAACTGAAGGAAGAAGTAGGGAGATTTCTCTGGCGCTGATGGATTTTAATCACCCTTGACAAAAATGCTTATTCCTGAATCCTAGGCCTCATAAATATACACTTTTTTGCCTTTGTAATTTTTCATATTGTGCTATTACATATTTTCAAACAAATTTCTGGGGGTGGTTAGGATGAGACATCTTGGGACCCACCTCCAAGGTTCTCTCCCCCCACACCCCCATTTCAAATGGCACTTGATAGAATGATACTTATTGAATACTGTGCTGCATTGTCAATGTGCTGGGGATATATTTCAGGAATAATACACTTCTAGCAAAGGGAATAATATAAATTTAGGAAAGGGTCAATATAAATTTATTCACCAAGTGGCCAAACACAGTTTTCTTAAATTCTGGCGGGCTATTAGTTAAGTGACGAGTAGAATCCTTTTCAATATGTATGGTAGGCCTGGTCCTGTGAATTGAAGTAAAAAGGAGCTGTTGGCACCACTTCCAGGAATGGGTTTCTTATGATTGACTTGAAGGTCAGAGTCATATCCTAATTTAATTAATCTGCATTTTCTTGGAGAAAATAGTTTACTTGGATGCTCTATTTTGAAACTAGAATTAATAAGAATTGCTTCAGTTGTTGTAAGCTGTGAACTGATTGGTTAGATATCCTAGCAAAAGAGAAAATTTGCATCTTAAAGAACTATGGTCTCATTGAAATTCTTCTCATGTATAATTACAGAAAACTGAATAAAAAAGAAAAGTTTTAACAGTAAGCAACTGGCAGGCACTGAGACATTTCAAGCATGTTAAAATCAGAGAGAAATGGAGCTTTAGTCTCCTCCTCCTGCATTACGTCTTTATTTGAACAAGTATCCTGTTACTGTTAGTTTCTTAAATGGTCTCCGTAGCTTATTTATGCCTGATCCAGACAAATTTTTAGCATATTTGTTGTGGAGAGCTTGTCAGAATGGCTGGCAGTGAAGAGACCCTTAAGAAAAAATTGCAAGATGAAAATGAAGTTTCAGAAAGCCACAAAACCAGGTAAAGTAACTTGAGAATTTATACTAACAAACAATATCTTTAGTTCACAAACTTTAAAACTAAGGACCTGATTCTGCTCCCACTAAAGTCAATGAGAACCATATTCACTCAATGCTAACTTTACTATTTAATGCAGAATGACAAAAGTCCTTTGTTGAAACTAGAAAGCAAGAAAACTGTGCCAATGATTCTGAATTGACAATCTCCTTTGCTAATCCATAGACTGTCTGAATTTTATTGCTACTAGCATTATTCAGTTCAGACTATGTCCTATCCACAGTATCATAATTGTCAAAATTTTACTAATTCTGTTCTGGAAGTAACACAGAATGTCCCTTTGTAGTGAGTGTTGTACATTTATTTACAAAAATGGTCAGTTTGCAGTCTCTGGCTTTTTTATTTTAACACCTGTGTCCAGTGGCATAGTGTTCACTGCATAAGACAGAAACTTAAATCCAGAAATGGGTGCAGCAGTGATTGGGGGCAAAGCAGTGATCTGAATACTGACGTGAAGATTTGTAGTTCTACAAAAATTGAAAACAGTTCTGAAAAAAAGAGAGTATAAAGTTGAAAAATGGCTTAAAAGTTACTTCAACCTCAGGGCAGCAGTCACTCTCAGCGTAATGTGATTTTTTTTCTCCTTCAATATACATATATGTGAAGCGAGGCAAATAGTACTGTAGAACAGGCAGCCTTAATTGTCTCGATTTTTCCAATACATGAGAAAGCTTGGTTCCTGATATTCACCTTATTCTAGACTCACACTAAGCACTGACAAATCATTATCAGCACCTTAAAACTTTGTTTAAATAAGATTCATTTGTATTTCCCTTTTATGATTTATTTTTCTTCCCACCCTTTAAGTTCTTGTTTATTTTTCATCTAGAATACATGACTGCTAATATTTCTAGAGGCAGAAGTAGTGGTTCTCTCTATTTCACACTTGATATCAGAATACCTGGTGTGGGTAGCTTAATGTAACTTGTGTTTTTAAATTTGTACATAACTGAGTAGGGTAGAATCCTGGCTCTGTTGAAGTCCATGGAAGTTTTGGCATTGACTTAATAGGGACAGAATTTCACACCAATCTGCCATGGCAACAAGCACTTGATTAAATATATTTGAAGGAAATTCAGGTTAGGAACCTATCAATGGACTTAAATATTCCAAGCTGGCATTAGACGTATCACATGAGGGACTTAGTCTCAAGGGTGGATGAAATCACCATCCAGCCACACCATTCTCAATACGCACCTTATTAGCCAACCTGTTGATGCAATGTGTTTAATGTTTAACACGAAATAAGGTTTTAAAAACATTTCGCAAAAAGGCTATCTTTACTACATTCAAAATATTTACCCATGTTCCATCAAGATGCAGAGGACTTGGGATTCAATAGATAAACTATAGGTTCAGGTTTATTACAAATGTACCAAACAAATGGCACAAAATCCAGGAAATATAACTCAGTGCATAAAAACATAAGAACAGCCATCCTGGGTCAGACCAGCGGTCTATCTAGCCCAGTATCCTGTCTTCAGTGCCAGATGCTTCAGAAAGAATGAACAGAACAGGTCAATTATTGAGTGATCCATACCCTGTCATCCAGTGCCGACTTCTGGCAATGGAAAGCAACTCAATACATTGCATTGTAAAAAATAAAACAAAACAAAAAACTTCCCCACAAGCAATAGCTTAGTCCAGGGGTTGGCAACCTTTCAGAAGCGGTGTGCCGAGTCTTCATTTATTCACTTTAATTTAAGGTTTCACGTGCTGGTAATACATTTTGATGTTTTTTAGAAGGTCTCTCTCTATAAGTCTATATATTATATAACTAAACTATTGTTGTATTGTAAAATAAACAAGATTTTCAAAATGTTTAAGAAGCTTCATTTAAAATTAAATTAAAATGTTGATCTTACGCCGCCGGCCCACTGAGCCCGCTGCTGGTCTGGGGTTCTGTTCACCTAGGCCGGCAGTGGGCTGTGCGGGGCCGGTGGCCAGGACCCCAGACCGGCAGTGGGCTGAGCGGCTCAGCCCATTGCCGGTCTGGGGTTCCGTCCGCCGGCTCCTGCCAGACAGGGTCCCGGCTGCCGGCCCTGCTCAGCCCGCTGCCGGTCTGGGGTCCTGGCCCTGCCCACATAGAGTGGGTACCTACCTTCTCCCTGGTTCTGGCCCATTCTCTGCCTCTCTGCACTGAGCTGAGGGCGGGAGTGCACTGAGCATTGGGCTGGGGTGAAGGAGCAGGCTGGGGGTTGGGGTGTAGGGTCTGGCCAGGAGCTAGAATGAGGGAGAGGGCTCAGGGTTGGGGCAGGAGGTTTGGGTGTGGAGCACTTACCTGGGCAGCTCCCATTTGGTGCGAGGGGTGCAGGTGGGAATGTGGGTGGTGGTGGTGCAGGAGCTCCCGTTTGGTGCTCAGGGTGGGGGCGGGGATGTGGGGGATGCGACAGTCAGGATGTGGGGGGTGCATGGGGTGGGGAGGCTGGGTATGGGGGGGTGCAAGAGTCAGGGCTGGGACCGTGGGGGGTGGGTGAAGGAGGCAAGCAGAGGGCTGGATGTGTGTGAGGGGGGTACAGGGATCAGGGCAGGGGCCTGGGGTGTGTGCAGGGCTGCAGGACTCAGGGCAGAGGGCTGGGTGTGTGTGTGTGGGGGGTCATGGGGTGCTCACGGCAGAGGGCTGGATAGGATATGACCCTATTCCACCACCCCTGTTCCCCAAGGCCCTGCCCCCGCTTCTTCTCTGCGTCTGCCGGGAGCAGCAAGCACGCTGACTCCACTCCTCCCCTACTCCTTCCCTCACAAGGGTCATCAGCTGATTGGCCAGCAGGGAGGGAGGAACGGAGAGGAGGAAGAGGGGCAGGAACCCAGCACATTGCGGGAAGAGGCAGGGGAGCCAGCAGGACCAAGCTTCTGCCCTCTGTCCCTTGCCCCCTGCCCCCACAGGAGGGGGCGGAGGATGGAGAAGAGTGGGCCGGGCCGGGCTGGGCAGGATTTTTAATGGCACGCTGCTGCCTGCCGGGACTTCGGCAGGCAGCAGCGTGCCATTAAAAATTGGCTCGCGTGCCGTCTTTGGCACGCATGCCATAGGTTGCCGACCCCTGGCTTAGTCTAACAGTTCTAAAAACTCAATTATGATTCAGACAGTCAACTGCAGAAATTCATAGCTAACTGCTAGACAAAGGTATATAATTCTATGTGCCTTTCCCAGATCAAAAATTGTAGTAAAATGGAAATAAGTTTGTATAATTAATTTGTTAAAAGAATCTTTATTAGAACCCTGCACTGAAAATCTTCTGACTTTTTGACCATTTAATGAGGTTAAACCCAACTCCCAAGTGTCTGGAAATAGGAAATGCACAGTTAAGACAGTCCAGAAAACCTTAACTGTGCCCCTGTACCATTTTCATGTATCTTTGATTTATAGAATAGCAGCTGGGAATATTTTGAATCCCTCCCATTCCACTCCGGGCTGTGAGAAGTCCATATTTATTGGGGTAGACATATTACAGTTCATATACTTTTCTGGTTTGAATGTGGACTTTTGGAAATATCCAGACTGTGAATGTGGATAACTGAAACTAGACCTTTCCCATCTTGCCTGTTTAGATGAATGAGCCCTGATTTTGGATTTTGTTCTGTATTCAGCAACACAGTTAAGTTCCTATTTAACATTACAGTTAATAGGACATAAGTACATACTTAAATTTGTGTGTTTAAGTGCTTTGCTGAACTGGGGCCTGTGTGAGTGTCTACAGAGTGGATGGGGATATGGGTGAATATATGATTCTCTGAGAGTGTTGTTATGTGTGACTAACAGGATGCAGTGCCAGCTCTTGTGATTTTTGTCACAACTCTAGCAATTTTGGGGTGATTTTTTTTACCTTTCATGTGAAAACATGAGGAAAGGTTGCTAACTCATGAATTTTCACGTATTCAAAATGGCTACCACCTCCATTACTGTCAATGGGGCTGAAGCTAGCAAGATTGCCATCATTTCCCTGCAGCTCGTAGAAGTGAGACTTCAAATGTGAAGTTGCGGAACTATTAACTATGGTTTGTAACCTGTCCTTTAAATCGGCTTCTGTACCCAATGACTGGAAGATAGCTAATGTAACGCCAATATTTAAAAAGGGCTCTAGAGGTGATCCCAGCAATTACAGACCAGTAAGTCTAACGTCAGTACTGGGCAAATTAATTGAAACAATAGTAAAGAATAAAATTGTCAGACACGTAGAAGAACATAAATTGTTGGGCAAAAGTCAACATGGTTTCTATAAAGAGAAATTGTGTCTTACTAATCTATTAGAGTTCTTTGAAGGGGTCAACAAACATGTGGACAAGGGAGATCCAGTGGACATAGTGTACTTAGATTTCCAGAAAGCCTTTGACAATGTCCCTCACCAAAAGCTCTTACGTAAATTAAGTTGTCATGGGATAAGAGGGAAGGTCCTTTCATGGATTGAGAACTGGTTAAAAGACAGGGAACAAAGGGTAGGAATAAATGGTAAATTCTCAGAATGGAGAGGGGTAACAAGTGGTGTCCCCCAAGGCTCAGTCCTAGGACCAATCCTATTCAACTTATTCATAAATTTTCTGGAGAAAGGGGTAAAAAGTGAGGTGGCAAAGTTTGCAGATGATAGTAAACTGCTCAAGCAAAGCAGACTGTGAAGAACTGGATGGAGAGTTGGATTTCTGCTGCATAGGTCAGAAGGAAGCAAGCTAGTCTATTCCAAGATCATTCTAGGTTGTGTCATACACCGTATCTGCTGAATAAAGCCTTTTTTGACTAAAAAGCTTGATGTATTATTCATTCTTCTCCATGCTCTCATATAGTTTTTAATCATATGCTAAATTTGTCTGCTTACCAAACTAAAAGGAAAAGAGTCAACTGATTCTTGATTATATTTAGTCATTACAAAAGAGATTTTGGTCCTTTTCTTGCAAATCAAGATAGCCATTTCCACTTAGGATAGGCTATTGTTGGTAGCAGGAGTGTAGAT